CAAATGATTCCTTGCTCACTGGTACAAAGATAGAGATCTAAGGGGGCAAGATTCTGTTTATCACTTATAAAATGAGGGTTCTGACTGTCATCCCTGCCCACTGCACTCTGGCTCTTGAGGATAAACATAGCATCTTAAATCAAGTGCACTGACATTTTGGTTCTTAGATGGCCTGGTATATTTGACTTCAAGGACCTTTCCTGCTGGTACCAGAATTCTGTCCAGTCCATGAACGATATAGTCTGACAGCTTTAGAGACATCCCTGAAGTTTACGACCTTTGCAGGAAGAATTCAGAAATCCAGGTTTGAATGTCCAGCTCTGTTTAACAATATCCTTTGACTGAAAATACATCCTACAGCAGCGTGTTATACTGTCTCCTATAGATTCGCTCCACCACACAAAATCATCTGAAGTCAGCTATTTGTGGAAGAATGTAATGAGCACTGTCTTACTAAAGGAAAAAAAATGAGTAAATCCCAGTTGAGAAGCAATTGCTAAGTCTAATCCACATTTTATTTTTGGCAGTTTACACATTAATCTGGATCTTGAGTATCTTGTTGATCTATCTATTCCCAGGATTAACTTCATAAGAAAAGACTGAAGGAAATTAACATTTATTGAGGACCTACTGTGTGGGGTTCTGGGAAACTTGCATCTGTTTTAGGTACTGAGGTTTAGTTTATTTACCATAAAATTTATCTATTTTTAAATAAACAGTTCAATGATTTTTTAGTAAATATATACATTTTTGCAACCCTCACCACAATTCAGTTCAAGAACATTTTCATCACTCTGAGAAGTTCCTTCATATCCTTTGTAATCAATCCTCGCTCTTAACTGCCCCTTGCAACCTCTGAGCTGCTTTCTGTCTCTAGAAGTTTGTCTTTTGTAGACATTTCATATAAACAGGATCAAATAACATGTGGTCTTCTGTGTCTGGCTTTTGTCCACTTAGCATGATGCTTCTGAGATTCATCCATGCTGTTAAATGTATCAGCAGCTCATTGGTTTCTATTGATAAGTAGTATTCCATTGCATGGCTAGACCACATTTTGTTTATAATTCCACTTTATGTGAGAGTAGGATTGCTAGATCAGATGGTAAGTGTATGTCTACCTTATCACAAATTGCCAAAGTGCACTACAGTGGCTATACTATTTCACATTCCCACCAGCACTGTATGAATTCCAGTTTCTCCACATCCTTGCCAACACTTTGGTACTATCAGCTTCCTTAATTTTAGTCATTTTAGTGGGTGGCAAGTGGAATCTGTTGTTTTAATTTCCATTCCCTTAGTGGTGAATCACGCTGAATAGCTTTTTATGTGCTTTTTTGGGGGCCATTTGTATCTTCTTTGGTAAAATGTCTAGTCAAATCTTTTGCTCATTTTTAATTGAGTTACTTATCTTCCTATTATTGAGTTGTAAGAGTTCTTTATATATTTTGGTTAAAGTTATTTGTTAGATAATTACTCTGAAAATACTTGCTTCCAGTCTGTTGCTTTTCATTTTCTTAATCGTGTCTTCTGAAGAGTAAAAGTTTAACTGTTTTTTCATTTTCTTAATTGTGTCTTCTCGAGTAAAAGTTTAATTTTGATGACATCCAATTTATCTACTTTTTTTCCACGTCCATAGATTTTGTATCATGTATAAGAGTTTTTCCCTAACTCAAGATCACAGGGTTCTCTACTATTCTTTTAAAAGTTTTATAGCTTTAACTCATACATTTAAGTTTATGATCTTTTTGACTGAATTTTTGTGTAGAGAATGATGTAAGGATCAAGGGCCATAATTTGCATATGTAAATCCAATTGTGCCAGCACCATTTAAAAAAAAATCCTTTCTCTATTATCTTGTCACAAAATCAATTGACCACATATATTATGGACCATTTCTTCGCTTTCTCTTCTGCACCACTGATCTATGCATCTATCCTCATGACAAGTTATAGTAAGTTTTGAAATCAAGGGTGAGTCCTCCAACTTTATTCTTTTTTCACCCTATTTAGGTTATTCTAGGTTATTTGCCTTTCCATATAAATTTTAGGATAGTTTGTCAATTTCTAACAAAAAAAGCTTACTGAGATTTTGGTAGAGATTATGTTGAATCTGTAGGTCAATCTGGAAAGAATTACCAATATTCAGTCTTCTACTTCATGAACATGGTATATATATTAATTTAGTTTTTTTTTATTTCTCTCAGCAACACTGTAGCTTTCAGTGTACAGTTCTTAAAGTTCTTATGTTAAATTTATTCTTGAGCCTTTTATCCTTTCTGATGTTATTACATAAGAAATTGATTTTTTTTAAATTTCATTTTCAGGTAGTCTATTGCTATTACATAGAAATATAATCGATTTCTGTATATTGATTTTCATATCCTGCAACCTTGCTAAACTCACTAATGTTCTAGTAGCTTTTTTATACATTTCTCAGGATTTTCTACCTACAAAAATGACATTGTCTATGAATAAAAACAGTTATAGTTCTTACTTTCCAATTCTCATGGCTTTGACTTGTTTTTGTTTTATAGTCTTTGATTTTGTTTTTTGAATTGTCAGCAAGCTTCTCTTCAGTATATTGTATGTTGACACCCCATACCTCTTTTGTGAATGCTGAAATCAGACTATTGCATGCCCTTCTCCTGATGAACAATCATTTTTAGCCAGCGCACAATGCCACTCACTGCCTATCAGCCAAAAATTCTGTCTCAATAGCACTGCCATTTATTTACAAAATAGTGTTTGAATAATTATTTCATAAATTCAATTGTATTTTGCACTCATCATTTAGAGGGAAAAAAAGGAATAGAAAGTGGGAAAAGGAAAGTGTTATCAGTAATAAACGCTGAATCTCAAAAACTTAACAATTGAGAAAAAAATGAAAATCATTAGGCATGCCGAAAGTGGCAATTCTTTAGCCTCAATTAGGTGCTCATTGGACTTAATAAGCTGATCAACCACGAGAAGGAGAAATATTAAAGAACATAATATGGCATAGTGACAATATAACATCAAAGACTGTGTCTAAAATGCAAATACTAAATGTATAATTAGCGATTTTATAATATGTTTTAGGTCTTTGGGAACATTACTGCCATTATGATAGGTACAACTATTATTATATTTGAGCACAATTCAACTAACACATATTGTGAGGAACATAATGGGTTTCAAAGTGAGGGAAATACAAGGACTTCATTTAATTTTTATAAAACTTCTGAGAAAGGAATAAAGATTCCCATTTATAAATCAGAAAACAGACCCAGAAATTTAAATAACTTGCTAAAGTGTGTACAGTAAGCTGTAGAGACAAGACTGAAACCCAGGTCTTTTTGGCTCCAAAGCTCTCAGTTGAGCCCCCATTTTCCCGAGTGACCCATCACCCTGACCCGTATCCCAAAGCCGCAGCACCCCACCCATAGCTCTGGAAACCTCTGGTTCATCTCTTATGGTTCTAACCTTCCCTGGGTTTCACCAGTGACTTACAAACTGCTGTGCAACAACTGGGGGAGGATTTATCTTCCTGATTAGCCTCATCCCGAAATATCAGCCTTGAGGCTTGAACACTATAATGGAAAGGTTTGAAGTGGTTACAGAAGTAAGATACGAGCGAATCGATATAGAAAGCTTGGTTTGAAATCCATGAGTGATTTTCCCTTGAGTTTAAGGAAGAAATGCTGAGGAAGTTTGAATAAGAAAGGATATTAAAGTTTTTAAGTGAGGTATTTTTAGGCTTTTCTCTCTGCTTTCATTTTCTGAGCAGACACACTGGAAAATGAGTGCATTCCAAAGCAGAAAAGTTACCATAAAACCATTAAATTGTGGACAGGTGACAAAGCTCAGCCTTCTCTCTCAACACCCCGCAGGAAAACTCCAGCCCTTAGATACACATGGTTTGTAAGGCCAGAAAAGAAGCGCCGTATTTCCCCTGATGAGCACACAGAGCAAGGAGAAAGGAAACAATATCAAAATGCTTCTCCCTGTGTCCCAAGTAAGCACTGAATCGATGCTCTGGACTCGCTGGCTAATTGGAAAGCATTTGGATATAGGACTTTAAACAAATACTAATCACGGCTTCTCCGGTACACTGGACAATACACAGGACCAAAAAGAAACATCTCAGTCCAGGATGTGCCAGAGGAGTCCCGTGCAGAGCGAGGACGCCGTCCCCTGTGATCTCTGCCCTCTGAGCAGCAAACCTCTGGGAGAGAATTTTTTCCACCAACCCTTTATTTTACATCCTGTGCTAGCATGATCTTTAGCAATTCCCCTCACCAAATCAAACACATATTTTACAATCCTTGTAATGTTCAGACATACATGGTGATGCCTTTGAAAATCTCTGTAGCTAGCAAAATATTGGAAACAGCCCCCATGGCTGAGGAACATGGTGGCATATCTCTCAGATGAAACAGGGCTTGGGCACTATGGGTCCACGGTCTGTTGCCGATTTTTATAGATAAAGTTTTATTGGAACACAGCCACGTCCACTGGCTTATGTAGTGTCGATGGCTGCTTTCTTGCTACAACAGCAAAGTTGAGCTATTGCCAGTGACACCACATTTTAGTCTGCAAAGCCAAAATATCCACTCTCTGGCCCTTTACAGAAAGTTTGCCAAATCTTTCGGTAATACACTTCCAATAATACAGAAAAATACTTCTGTTAGAATAAGTTAAAAAAGAAAAACCAAGATACAATATTTTATGTATAGTATGATCCCACTTTTATGTGAAACAAATGAAAGTGCTTCTAGAGAAGAGACCAAAAATGTTCAGCTCTTGGATGGAGGTGGTAGAATTAGGGGTGATCTGCCCTTCCCCCGCCCACTTATGTTTTACAATTTTCTAAAATGACCTTACATTTCTTTTGTAACAGCAAAAAAACTAAACGTCACTTTCACAATTATGTTAGTTCATGTTTCTGTGTGGTCACAGTGGGTGTGACTACATCCCCACAGGGGTGCTGGGGGCGGGAGGCAGGAAGTCCTGGGCAAATACCTTATGCTCATCCCGAAGGTGGCTGTCCAGTTCCTCCGTGTGCTTGGTCTCATAGTAGCAGAGCTGGCACTTGTAAGGTTTCAGTTCATTGTGCTTTTCTATGTGCTGCTGGAGGCTCTCGTCACTGGAGCAGGTGAAGGTACACTTATCACAGCGGAAAACTACTCCCTGCAAGTATTTTGACAGTTTGGAACGGCACACTTCAATGGGGACAACTCGCTCTTCTGTGGAAAGAAATCGAATGGAGAGAGGTGAATTTTTACTGACGGCCAACAGGTGTTCTTTCTAAAGAAGACACTCACCCGGTCAATCCTGCTGTTTCTCGTGGGTCTGGGTCTGTGAACTGACACCCACGCACGCTGCTCCCTCTCCTAGCACCCCAAACAACATACTCCTCCGGTACAAGTCGGTGTTTTTAAACCCAAAAGCTCTTTGTGTACTTAATACCCACCATGCCCTATGAACAGAGATGGGGCAGGCTGGAAGGTGTTCGCGAATTCCTGAATGGCAGTGATTAAGGCAGGGAGGAGGAATGAAGTGGCTGCCACTTCTACCAACGTCGATGATCACTGACAACACCCATTAGTACAACCTCCTTCCCCACAGGTGTTGCTGCAGCTGGATTCACAGATGTTTTTAAGGGGGGGAGGAAACTGACATTAACTGGGCACCTATGATACATGCCAGTACCTTTTCTACCAAAAACTCCATGAGGCTAGAGAGTTACTCCCATTTTTACAAGTAAGTAAAAGTGGGCAACAACAGAGTCTGTAAGTAACTCTCCAAAGGTCATGGACATTGTAATTGGCAAAGCTGAGATGTGAAACCAGGTCTGCCTAACTGCAAATCTGTTATTTCTCACTATCGCCAATTCCATTCCTGTTCCAGCTTCTAAGATGCTCTCCACAAGACTATTCCCTTGTCCAAGGGACTCTCTAATCTAATATCAAATTTGAAAACAAAGAAACCCGTACACTTTCATTCACTCAATCTCCAACACCAACTATGAAGACCTCACCAATGAAACGGCGGCTATCAACATTCCCGGAAGGCGGGGGTCGCGTGGGAGACCTGGAGGATTTGTGCCTTTTCATACAATCTGTAATCTGATTGTCAGAAGGGAAAAAATAAAAGAGAGACAGAGGATTTGGGTGCTTTTCCCATTAACATACCAAATGCTGTAGGGCTGGAAATGCGTGTGCTTGTTTATTTTGCACTCTCTCACCCTTGTGTTTAACTGCTCAAATTAAATTTCACACCAGTCTGCCCACAGTATCGGCGCACGCGCCAGATATCCATAACTGGGATAAAATTAAAATCCGTGCTATTTATGCAAGAATCAAATATAGCGTGTGTTTCATGCTGTGTCTGGATTTCAGAAGACTCCGAAAGTTTACAAATGGACGCACACAACATATACTTATATTATTTAGAAACAGCAATGTATTATTAAAGTCAAGAAAGCATGATTTATTCCCAGAGTCACTGAAAAGCAACGTTTCCAGAGCATCAGTATTTTGCGTGCTGATGCGACTCAGAGTTCTCCCCTTGTTGTTGGCCTGTGTTTGGCCCCTCGGGAGTTTTCCCTACCCAACATCATGCCTTAGTCTGAACCACAACATTCTAACTACGGGGCAGTCACTCCTTGGGAGTCCCTGAATGCAGCGATTCATCAGCCAGCAAAATCCTGGGCAGAGGACGCGTGGAAGATGCTGTCTGCAACATACTCCCTGGAGCATTAATGCATGTTATTTTCCCTATACAACGAGTCAGCTGCTTGTTTAGAAATATAAATATTTTTAAACCAAAGTATAGCAGATAACTAAGAAACACATGATTATAACACAATCCACAGTTTTTTTTTTTCAGAATCGCAAATGTTTGACAGCCTTATAACCATCCAGTTCTATGGTTTGGTGTCAACAGAGGAAAAAACGCTTTGGCGTACACTAGTAGGTCTAAAGGAATCCGCGTTAGGATATTCTATTCCTCTAACTCAGGGATTCTCAATAGTAGCACTGTTGACATTTTGGGACCACATAGTTCTTTGTTGTCGGGGCTATCCTGGGCATCGCAGGATGTTCATCAGTAACCCTGGCCTCTACTCGCTACGTAACAATAGCAGCCCCTGCTGCCCAGTCATGACAGCCAAAAACGCCTTGCAGACTAACGCACCCTGGGGAGGCAAGATTGGCCCCAGTTGAGTGAGAACCAATGCTCTAAGCAAAGTGCCAGGAATGAACTGCAACTGCTCTGAGTAACGCGTGACCCGTAAGCAAGCTGGGGCCCAGAGCAAGGCGTGTGGCGTGCAGGCTGAACTGGGGCCAGCCCCCACACTGGGGTACGCCTTTAGACCTCAGCAGTTCAGGGGAAGTGTTGGCGTGAATTTTACTGGCCCTTCCTTGGAACTGCACCCCCCTTGCTCTCTCTGCACTTGGTCCTGATTTGTATCTTGTCGTCTCTACTGCTTCCACTTTGGTTCTTTGGCTCTGGCCTGTGGTGCCTGTCCCTCGACCTCCGAGGTGATGGAGAACAGCCAGGTATCATTTTCCATATAACGATGCCCCACCCATGTTGAAGACAGACATTCAGTCACTATCCAGTCTTCACTTCTCCATAGTCAATACTAGGTTCTTTTCAAACTTTATTTTTTAATGGGTCTCCTTTTCAATTCCTCTACCACTCTGGTTGGTTTTCTTTGCAGTTTCCAATTTCACTATGTGTGTCTAAGTGAATGTTACACAAAGTCACGAGCACTCAGAATAATGGCCCGGGGTTCAAATAATACTAATTAATGGGAACGCCACTGCAATTTATTAAGTGCTCACTGTGGTTCAAGTGACGTTAGGTGTTCTGCCCTCGCTGCAACTTTTTATTCTCATAGCACCCTGTGAAGTCAGTTCTATTTTCTTCAGTTTATGGATGTAAGAAACTGAGAACTGATCAATTAAGCTACTTCCTCAAAGTCACACCTCTGGTTCAGCACAAAGTTGTGACCTGGGAGTACAGGTCTCCTGACCTCTGCTGGCCCCCTCCCGCGGCACCCCTGCTGTGACCTTCCTGGGAACAGCCAAGCTGTACCCAGTGTACTCATAAGACTTCCATTCCTGATATCTTAAAAATGTAAGAGCCACAGATTTCTAAGGTGACCATTAATATCTGAATATCTTTCAAGTATCTTCTGGATTTAAGAAAAGACCATTTCTCTGCTTATTTTCTCTGAAATGTGAGACTTCCCACTTCCAAACTAAGTGTGCCACGTCTCTTAATTATATGGGTTTTTACTAAGACATTAGTTTTAGAAAAAAGTTAACTTTTTCTCCTTTCTGAAAACATGGCTAACATGTTCAAGATAAAAAAAAAAACAAGACAGACTTTGAAAGGTGGGCAAATGACTGATGGTGTTTTCTGAATGAGGTTATTCATTACTGAGGCAAGTGAAGGACATAAAGCTAACGGCTGGAAGGTTTCCAGGTATGGACTGGCCCTGCCTTGGCTACAGAAGCTCAGTGCTCAGGGTTTTTTTTTTTTTTCCTATGGGGGCAGTGACAACTGTGGGTCTTTTTGACTTCACACCTCTCAAAATTACCTTGGGTAAGAAATCAGGGCCTGAATCACACTCATTGTGACTCAGCTTCTAGCACTGGCTGCAAAAATATTATGACTTCACCAGTTCGACTACAAGATGGATTGTGTCTCTCATCTCCTCCTACTCAAAAGATGCTTGGTGTTGCAGTGGGACATAAAACCCAAGAGGCTGAGCCCCAGAGTAATGTCACATTGAAGCACATGTGTGCTAAGGCACAACCGGAGCTGAGAACTGCACACTGTCAAGCTCCGGTGGAGCTCAGTGGAAAAATCTGCAGAGTTGCAACTACAAAGGGGTCAGTTCTGCTCAAATCGGTGAAAAACCACATTACGGTGGAGTTCAGAATCATCAAGTACAAATTCTTCCTGAAAGGCAGACCACAACATACGTCGGTTTCCTTCCCAGAGCATGCCAAGTCTAAACGGATTTGGAAGGATTTGGAAATCCTTCACTCCAACAAACTCTATGCAAATTATCATTCTAGAGGACTGAGTCCCTCTTTGGGCCAAACCAAAGACCTACTCTTCTAGGCCAAAAAGAGACAAAGGCAGTGTACGAGAGAAAGCCGTTAAGAAAATAACACTATTCAAAAAAAACCAATCATCCAAAAATATAACCATAAATAGACACACATAAACACAAGCAAAACAGCTCCTGGTGAGAAGTATTAAGTTTTCATGTTGGCCAGGCCACCACCCTCGAGCTAGAGAGAGATGGGAATGGCATCTCTAATTCTAACAGGCAAAGATATTTGGTGGGGTTGGAATGGAACATGAAGTTTCACTGAATAACATTAAAGATTGGCAATCTCACTGTAGCTTTTTTTTTCCTCAAGAAAAATGACACTGATCAGATAAATTAGGGGAGATTACTTCTGTTCCCAAGACTCCCACTTGCAAAGTTCAGTTAAATTTCAGCATTTGTCTACATACTGGGAAACAGAAACTTAAAGTTAATACACCAACTGGAGATCAGTAGCAGTGACTACATAGCTCCATAATCACAATGTAAATATTTGGCAAAACTGTGTTTCATCCCTTAAATTCAATCTGTGCCCAACTTTTCAGGCTCACTATGGGTGCGCAAGGTACATATGCGCGAAGCTATGTGTGAGACATTGGGCTTCCAATGGTGATAAACTCAACAGAAACATACCAATGGAACTATTTATTCACTTGCCTATTGTCTCTCTTCCCATTCAAGTTCAAGTTCCTTCAGTGCACAAACCCTGCCTGATTTTTCATGGCTGTATCCCTAGAGCTTAAAACAATGCTAGCACTTTCTCCTCCAGCCTTCCAAGATGCCCAAAGAAAAGGCAGCCAAGAGGAAGAAGGTGGCCCTGGCCCCTGCTGTTGTGAAGAAGCAGGAAGCCAAGAAGGTGGTGAATCCCCTGATTGAGGAAAGGCTGAAGAATTCTGGCATTGGACAGGACCTCAAACCCAAAGGGGACCTCACCTGCATTGTCCAATGGCCCTGCTACATCTGGTTGCAGCGGCAAAGGGCTACCTTCTATAGGCGCTGAAGGTGCCTCCTGCAATTAACCAGTTCTCCCAGGCCTTGGACCACCAAACAGGCACTCGGCTGCTTCAGCTGGCCCATGAGTATAGTGCAGAGACCAAGCAGGAGAAGAGGCAG